AAATTGAATGTGTGCATCTATTTTAATCCAAAAAAAAAACTGATGCCACCCAATCCAATTCGGAATAGTTCGCAACTGCGAAATGTGTTCAAATTGATTTTTCGCCATCGTCATTTTATCAAAATTGCAAACATTTGCATGCACATTTTTGAAATCGGTCGCAAACTCTCGGCAGTTGCTTGTTCGCGCTGTATGCACCAGCGCCTATGGCAATAGTTTGTGAAATGTTCGTTGACTCAAACTATTGGCTAAAATTGGTAGTGTTACAACAATCCAATATAAGCAAGAAGAACCAAATCAAAGAGGACTCAATCGAAAATTTACTAAAGCGCGTAATTAGTAATTTCCCCAAACATCAAATCAGGTCAATCAGTGTATGTGTGTGTGAGAGAGATGGAGATAGGAACACACTGTTCGGTCGTTTCGTTGGATATTTGGTCGGTTTCATTGTATTTGTTCTCGTTCGTCGTTGCTTCTGTATGCGCGCGTGAGCCGATGACGACAGCACGATGATAGCGATGCGCATTTCACAAATGAATTTCTTTGTTTGATTAGGCGTATACAAAAATGATGCAAATTGTTTAGGTGGTACACATGAGAAGGATATATGCAAACATGAATAAATATGGCACAGGTTAAATAAGCACAATGAAGAGAGGGAGAGAGAGAGAGAGACAAAGAGAGACGTACAAATGATGACGATTAAACAATAAGAACATCGCTGTTATGCTACAAAAATTTTAAGTGCAAACGAAAGAGGTTAGTTTTTTTTAAACCCAAAATGTTAAGGTATATGTATATAATTGTTGGCACGAAAAAAAAATGTGTATGGGGGGGGGGCTACTTAGAATTAGTCAGATGCACGTGTCAATCAAGGGTTAAGGGGCTGGGAAATAAAATAAGGCCTACAAATGAGGGAGGATTTCAATGGGTGGTTTATGGTTAATGTTTTCGATATGTTTCCTTTTATTTTCATGTTAGCTTTCTTTCGGGCATTTGAATGGCGAATGACGACGCACACGATTCATCGTCGGATATATATATGTCTATCAAGTTGAAAATCGTTTCTCAATTATATTTCGAATATACTACACAAATAATCACTTTGCAGTAGCAGTTGGATAATGGACATACAAGTATAAATATATAGAGACAGAGATGGTTTTTATGCTTAAATGCTGTAGTCTCAGAGCAAAAAAAAGAGATTCATCGAGCAAAACAACCAAATACAGAGAAGAGATAGATAAAAATGTATTTAAATTGATGTCAGACGGAAATGTGTACATGTCTGACATTGTTTCCACATTACATGGGAAACAAGTAAGTAGAAATACGGTAGATGTATTCAAGTAATTGAGATGAAATTAAAAATGAAAATCAAAACGGAACAAAGAAAAGTAAATACAAAAAGCGTGCAATCACAATATCCGAAATAGTCTTTATTTTGTTCGAATGTCGGAGAAGTTTTAATTGATCTTAATTGAAAAAATGAAACGGAAAAATGGCAAAAAATTCCTTCCGGCTCACTGTACCGATATTAAATACAAATTACATTCATCAGCGTTCAATGAACACATCAACTCATTTCAAGCGGTTTCAATGTTTTCCACAAAAATGATTGGTTCCATTTGTGGTATTTTCGATCTAATTACAAGAAGTTCGATGCCAGCGCTACGAAATTAATTGAATTTAGAATGATGAACTTTGGGTTTTGGGTACGAGAATCAATTTGAATTTGAAATTAAGGGAGCGCTATTGTTTTCGCATTAAATGTGAATCTGGCATCGAACCCTTAGTATTTATTACTTTGAAATGATTTTACGCGTTGTGTAAATAAATCATCGAATTGAACTCTAACATTAATCAATACCGTGTGATTTTGAGCTTATCTGACTCTTAATGGGTTTTCACAAGCTAATTATGTTCGCTCTGTTTATTTTTTGTTTGTTTTGTTTCGGTTGATGTTTTTCAATTTTTCATGGTTTGCTTGTTTTTTTTTTTTACTGGCTGCCAAAAATCAATCTTAATTCATTTGCAATTAGGATCAACATTTAAATGTGTATAGACTTTCTTTTTTTATTAGAGGCTGCTAGATTATTGAGTATCGTGTTTTAAAGGTTTTACAGTATACACAGTATAGTTTTGAAATGAGAACTGTCAGACTAAACAAACACATTGACATCAAGATACACAATATACGTCAAATAAATTCATAGACAATTTTGTCGCCTTCTGAACGAGAGCCTGCGATTCATTACATGCCGTCCCCTCCTGAGAGAGAGAGAGAGAGAGAGAGAGAGAGAGAGAGAGAGAGAGAGAG